TGTGAGAGTCAGTACAGTGGACAGAAGGCAACTTCACATGTGGAAGCCACTATCTCTCCTGGAAAAATCCAATGATGTCAAATTATAAAAAAAAAAATTCAATTTATATGAATGGCCAAGCAGAAAATTGAAACAAGTATTCCTCTGGGTATATTCAAGAACAAGATGCTACACAGAAAGAAAAAGAAAAATACCAATGGTCTCACTCATAGCATGAATCTAGAAAACTTAAATAAGGGACCAGGAAAAAGAATATAAGAAAGAAAAAATCAAAATCAACAAACAACTATGAACCAGAGACACTCTATGGGGGGTGGGGGGCGTGAAGGGGAGGGATTGGGGTCAAAATAAGGGGGTCGCAATTGTATGGGGAATATAAAAATTTTTTTAAAAATTAAAAAAAAAAAAAAAAAGAACAAGATGCTACACCTACAAAGAGTTAGCTTAATACAAGCAAGGGTTTCTGAGGACCTAATAACCAGGGACAGAGGTCACAAGAACCATTTCTCTCTGCCTCAGAATCTTAGTCCCGCAGACAGCACAACCCTAAATTCAAGAGAGAAATTCCCAGAAGCAACCCTCCCAAGCTCACTGCATTTGGAACACTCCTTGGGGTTCTAGTTGCAGCACCTCTGGAAAGACAGCAGAGCTCAGAAGGGAGCACAAAAATCATCAGGACTGTGCACGTGGCAACACACAAGAGAGTTTAGGATTTGTCCTCTGCTGCAGAGAAAGGTTGAGGGAAGGTTATATTGCTTACCAAAAAATCAGGGATGAGCACTGAATGTGGTATAAAAGAACTTTAAGTAGGAGACTTGGGTTTAGACCTAAAACCATATGTTGTATAGTCGTGGTGAGTCACTTCCCTTCTAGGCCTCATTCTTATCATAAAGTCTAATTACAATAAGAAGTGGGCTCATTTTGCGAGCCAAGTCAGAGTGACCACAGGCAGCGCTGTTCAAAGGATTTCGAGGCTCTGGGGAAAGTGGCCTGATGGTTCAGGCGTGCCAGCCAACAATAAGGCTCCTTCAGCCACGTCTGCCACAGGCGAGGACTGGAGGAAGAGTAGGAAGCACTTATCTGTCCTCCTTGGATGGAGGATGTGTGTGTGAGACTATTACAGAACTAACTATATGTGTAAAAAGGGCTGAGACGGTACATTTTATGGTATGTGGCTTTTATCAAAAAAAAAAAAAAAAAAAAAAAAGTCCATGACTGTTAACTAATGAACATACAGCTTTAATCACCGAATCGAAAGCTCTGAAACTTGAAACTGAAAGATAATTAGTACCACATAGAAGAGAGAAGTAAACATATGCTGTACTATCAACAAACTGTTGCAGGCAGAGAATGAAAGCCCAACAGGACTGTTGCTGCTATGATAACACCTACTCAAGTATGGAATTTAGGGGAAATTGGGCCAATCTTGTAACTTCTATAGTTACCAAGTACACACTCATTGCCAAACCCCCAAACACAACGTGGTGAAGAACACAGGTCTGCAGGATGTGCTGTGTGCGAGCACTGTGCATCTGTACCACGCAGGCCTCACAAAAGCCCTCTGAGGCAAGTGCTGTTAACAGCCCGGCAGGTGGGGATGTGATGGTGTCGAGGAGCTCATGCTAGTGGCTCAGCCTCTATCTCAGAACACGGCAGAGCCAGCACTGAAGGCCAAATCTGTTTTGATTCTAAAGCTCCTGTTCTAAAGAACTGTGTACCACTGCCTGTCACACAAGTCACAACATTATAGTTACTGCACCTTCCTCACGACCATGAGCCCCTGACCCCGGTAACTTGATGGTACCAGAGACATCCGGATTAAATACACTTTTCCCAACACTGTTTCCAAAGTAGTGGCTTTTGACTCTCATCTCAAGGATGGGATCCTGAGGGCAGGGACAGCCACAGGCCTGGGGCACCAGTCTGTGCCTTTTAAAATACCTAAAAATGGGGAACAGCAGCTACTTCTTTTGCTGCTGCTTTACATACACACATACACACACACACACACACACACATGCACACACCCCTTTGGTCTTTTTCTTAATTTTTCTTTATAGTCTTCTTTTTGTTTTTTACTAGCTAGTTCTATGAACAGGGTAAGGATCCAACGTGCTACTATCCACCCTGTGCTGAGGAAACAGAGCCTTGATGCTATAACTGCCTGGCATTTCTCACAGCGTTTCACTGATTATAGACTTCAATGACCTGAGCGGTTGAGGCCCAACCTCCTTCCCCATCTATAACCTGTGTCCTCTTGGACAAAACACAGAGCCTTGGGCCTCCGTGGTGGCACAGGAGTTAAAGACACAGCACTATCAAGCTATAGGCAGCCACTGCAACATGAGTTCAATCCCCAGCTAGGGAGTTAACTCACATGGCGCAGCAGACATCTCCTGTCTCCCCACTGCTCCCCTCAGCAGTGTATTTCAGTAGATCTGCCTGTTCTGCTCCCCATTCTCTCTGGCGAATCCTCTCACCTGCCCCATGCCTCTGGCCTACACCTCAGTTCTTATATGCATATATCTTTAAAACAAAACAAAATCCCAAGTCTCTCTGGGTCTATTTTTTTCTCATCTCAGGAGACCAAACTGGAAATAATAATTCCTACCCAAACACCTCTTTAAGAGTGATGTGACAAGAAAATACTCTGGAAATTACAAAGGGTTATCAGGGTTTCTCAACCATAGCCCCACTAATATTGGGGGCAGATAACTCCATCATAGGGAGAGGGCCCCTGTCCAGTGCCATGTGCCATGCAATACTCAGTGAAGTCTCTGACCTCTTCCATTAAAAGCCAGAACACCTCTCCTTACCTCATCTCCAACTATCAACAACCCCAAATCTCTCCAGACACTGTCAGTGTGCCAGGAGGGAAAAACTGCCCCTTGTTGAGAACATGGAATAATGTTAAACTTAAAAGTCAGTCAACTTCTTTAACACACAGTACCTAGAAATTCTCAGGTCATACACAACACGTTTGCAAATTAATGTCTACTTGTCTACTTCTCACTAAGGGCTCTCTAAGTGACAGGCGCTGAGCCATTAGCTTCCCCCAGTGGCCCAGGTCCCCTGCTCACACTGAACCCTCACGGCATGGGGAGCTGCTCTAACACCAGCAGGCACTGCCTGGTTGTCCCGGCCTAGTCCATCAAGGAGGTGTTTCTTCTCTCTTTCTCTCTCGCTCGCTCTCTTTCTTTCTATCTATTTATACAAGCACTGGGTACAGTCAGAAGAGCGGGAGGGTGAGAGAATTCACCAGAGCCAGAGGGGAGAATACAGCAGGCAGACTGATGAAGTACACTGCTGAGGGGAGCAGCGGGCGGCAGAAGAGGCCTGCGCGCCATGTGGGACCCTCACCCGGTGGCCGGGGATCAAACCGGCACTGCAGAGGCTGCAAGCAGCCTCGCAACCCAGCACTCAACTGCTGCGCCACCGGGGAAGACCTCAAGGAGGTGTTTCTGAGCATCACTAGACTCAGTTCTATTTGACCCACTTCATTATTTCTAACAAACGGAGAGCTTTAAAGTTGTTCCTTTCTCTGTCCTCAGTCTGGTTAACAATACTTATCTGGGAAAATCTTTATTCATAGAGCATAAACTTTAACTTTCACTGAGCTTCTGACTAATTAATAAAGAAATCTTATACAGTTTTATGTATTGCCCTTTGAATTGATATATAAAAGGTCTGGAGAGGGAGAATATTTTCAAAACTACCAGAGTACTTACCATTTGTCCGAACTGAGGGGTTAGGGGTGGAGAAGGATGGAAGGGGGTTGAGGGTTACACTTGCAAGGATGTGGGTTGGAGTCTGCACAAAGGGAAGAAAGGAGTTGGGGATGCAGCTTCAATTCAGCCCTGGGGAAAGGACAGCTCAAGAAGGCCAAATGCGACCCAAAAGTGCTTTGCAAATTTTACAAAAAACAAGGCCTCCCTGGTGGCACAAGGGGTTAAGCACTGAACTATGAAGTAATCCACAGCCTCTGCGGCACGAGTTCAATCCCCGGCTGGCCAGGGAGAAACCCACATGGCGAGGCAGACCTCTCCTGTCTTGCCCGCTGCTCCCCGCAGCAGTGTATTTCAGTCAGTCTGCCTGTTCTGTTCCCCACTCTGTCTCTGGTGAATCCTCTCACCCCCTGCATCTCCTGCCTGTGCCCCAGCTCTTATATGCATAAATAAATATTTTTTTAAAAAAAATCACTCTTTCTCTAAGTTTCCCTGAGGATGGATATAGTTGTGCAGAGATTCTGAGTTAACCAGGCGATGAAACAGACACTGGGGACAGGTGGGTAAGTAAACCCAGTATTTGGTACAAACACCGTGCTACATGCACTGTGATGCAGGGAGAAGTTGGAAAGCACACATCTAGAGGCACAAAAATGCCACAATTTTTTCTTTGAGCTTTTCTGGTATTTTCTGTAACAAACATGGCTTATTTTTACACTAATTAGCAAACCAGTATTAATTTTATACTCACTTGCCATGTAACTTTGAGAACATGAGTAAATAAACTTTCAGTACCTTGTTTGTAAAACATGGATAATAACAGTACCTAGGGCCTCCCTGGTGGCGCAGGGTTAAAGTCTCAGCACTATCAAGCTATCGCCAGCCGCTGCGGCATGGATTCAATTTCCGGCCAGGGAGCTGACTGACATGTCGCAGCAGACCTCGCCTGTGTTGCTCGCTGTTCCCCTCAGCAGTGTATTTCAGTCGATCCACCTGTTCTGCTCCCTACTCTGTTTGGTGAATCTTCTCACCTCCTGCACCTCTGGTCTATACCCCAATTCTTGTATGCATAAATAAATAAATCTTTTTAAAAAAAAAAACAAAAAACAGAGTTCAAGGATGAGTCTCATAGCCACCCACTTTGCTGGCCACTAGAATAGCTAATGCGGGACTCAACTCAGGGCAAATGTCTAGAAGCCTATGGACTCTGCAGCCACATTCACAGCATCACAGACAAAGACCTCACTAGGGGGTTCTGCTTCAGGTGCTGCTCACCTTGAAGGAGAAAGTAATCCGAAGTTGTGCGCTTCAGAGCTGCCTTTGCCTTATCGCTGCTCCAGTCCACTTCCAGGGCTTCTTTAACAGAGCAGAAGACCACCTTCTGTTTGAAAAAGGAGACACAGACAAAAGTACTTAGCAGCGATAAAACACAATGGCTTGAAATCACAAGGCAGAGCAGATGTCATGATTTAAGGTTTATTGTTCATTAAAATAAATGTAAACGGAGGCCCATTCAAATGCAATAAACACCTATTATGTACTTACTATGGGCACCACTGGGCACTGGAGACGCAGCAAGGCAGGACACATCCTCCCTGCGCTGAAGAAGACAGAGTACAGCCTCCAAAGACCTAGTTCTATCCTGGCTGTATGTACTCTCCAGAAATACCCAGGCGACTGAGCAAGAGTGTGTCTAAACATATTCAACGAAATATTTTTTGTAACAGTAGGGGGAAAAAGCAATGGTTTGGTGATGATGATGGGCAATACCAAAAAATAGCAAGAAAAACAATAAGTAAACGGGGATGGAATGAAAGTTCCAGGCTGTGGAAATGAGTGTTCACAAATGTCCTGTGGTAGGAGGAAGTATGACTAAAACCATTAAGCTAAATCAAAAAATTATCCTGAAAATTGCCATGACACCTTTGTACTTGCAAATATTTTTTTTTTTTTGAGATTTATTTATTTATACAAGCACTGGGTACATCAGAAGTGCGGGAGGGTGAAAGAATTCACCAGAGCCAGAGCGGGGAACAGAACAGGCAGACTGACGAAATACACTGCTGAGGGGAGCAGCAGGCGCAGCAGGAGAGGTCTGCGTACCATGTGGGACCCTTGCCAGTGGCCAGGGATTGAACTGGCGCTGCAGAGGTTGTGGGCAGCTTCACAGCCCAGCGCTCGACCGCTGCGCCACCAGGAGAGGCCCATGTATTTGCAAATATTAATAACTGAATATAACTATGAAAATGGCTTGCCATTCCCTGTTCTAGATAATTCAGTTCAAAAGCCATTTGCTGGGACTGAGGAAGGGAAGAGAAGGATGTGAGCTGGGCAGCCTGGTTGGAGGAGAGAGTAGACAAGGTACAAAGGGCATCCCCAGGGAGTAGCAATGGGATAGTGCTAACAGCTATAGGCTTGAAAAAAGTAAATAAATTGAGGCTCAGGAAGAATCGAGTCCCTTGCAATGAGACAAGAATCGAATTCAAAATGTGAAAAGAACTGAGCTCAATTTTCAGTAGTACATCAGACAGCTTAAGAAATAAGTGTAGGGCCTCCCTGGTGGCACAAGGGGTTTAGCAGCACTATGAAGCTATCTGCAGCCACAGCAGCACGAGTTCAATCCCGGTCAGGGAGCTGACCCACATGGCGCAGGAGACCTCTCCTGTCTCACCTGCTACACCCCCTCAGCAGTGTATTTTTTTTTTTTAAAGATTCATTCATTCATTCATTTATTTATTTATTTATTTATTTATGCAAGCACTGGGTACAGTCAGAAGCGCGGGAGGGTGAGAGAATTCACCAGAGCCAGAGCGGGGAGCAGAGCAGGCAGAAGGAACGAAGTACACTGCTGAGGGGAGCAGCGGGCAGCAGGAGAGGTCTGCGCACCATGTGGGACCCTCCTCCTGTGGCCAGGGAGCAGCCAGGGATCGAACCGGCGCTGCAGAGGCTGCGGGCAGCTTTGCAACCCAGCGCTCAACTGCTGCACCACCGGGGAGGCCCCCTCAGCAGTGTATTTCTATCAGTCTGCCTGTTCTTTTTTTTTTTTTTTTTTTTTTTAGATTTATTTATTGATTGATTGATTGATACATACAAGCACTGGGTACAGTTAGAAGCGCGGGAGGGAGAGAGAATTCACCAGAGCCAGAGCGGGGAGCAGAGCAGGCAGAAGGACTGAAGTACACTGCTGAGGGGAGCAGCGGGCGGCAGGAGAGGTCTGCGCGCCATGTGGGACCCTCCTCCCGAGGCCGGGGAGCAGCCGGGGATTGAACCGGCGCTGCAGAGACTGCCGGCAGCTTCCCAACCCAGCGCTCAACCGCTGCGCCACCGGGGAGGCCCCAGTCTGCCTGTTCTGTTCCCCACTCTGTCTCTAGTGAATCCTCTCACTGCCCCACACCTCTACCCTATACTCCAGCTCTTTTATGCATAAAAAATAAAATAAATCTAAAAAAAAAAAAAAAAAAGGAAAGTAGTAAGTATAGTTGTGTGTGTAGGTGTGTGCACACAAACTTTAGCTAAATCCACTGAGAAGATCTGAGCGTGACAGTCTGGTATCAACGAGCACACCTAACACCTCTACCTTGGTTTCTAATCACCATTCCTCACTAAGAGAAATGTTTCTCCTTGCAGAAATAGCAGATTTCAAAGCTGGGGCAGTGAGAAGTTAACTAATGAAATTTGATGAGGAATGAGAGATATTTACACATCTTAAAAATACTTGTCCACAAAATGTTACAGTTTCACACAGGGAAAAAAGGGACTGTTATCCAAGGAGTCAGACAGAAATTTTACTCAAGTGATCAAAGGGGCATGTGGAAGCCACATACCAGACCCCAGGATGTGATAAGCAGCAGGCATGCCTTGATATTTCTGCCAAAGATGTGTAGCTGGGATCTAATCATGAGAGAACATCGGAGGATCCAAGCTGAGGGACAGTTTACAAAATAACTGGCTAATAATCCTTAAAAGTGTCACAGAAATCATGATACACAGAAATCATGATACACTAGATACCTTTTGCCATCAAGAGCATGATTGGAACAAATGCTAATACCTGAAAGGGAAGTGAGGACTTGGAAGGCTTGGTACAGTGATGTGAATTTCTTGATTTTGAGGGCTGGTGTGTTTTATGCAGAAAGCCTTAAGAAAACACAGACTGAAAGAACTTAGGAGTGACAGGGCATGGGTTGGCCTCTTACTCTCAAATGGTTCAGGAAAAAATGGTTCTCAGTATTAGCTACTTTTGCTAAGTTTAAAATGGTGTGTGTGCACACATAAATAATTTCAAACTAAGGTGTGCCTCTTCCTTTCTTCTCTCACTCTACACTCAGACCACACAAACAGGTATTTGAAAAAGAAAGACGACAATGGTATCATCTAGGAGGTTAACTGAACCAAGCTCTATCAGCTACCAGGCAGCTTACATAGCTTGCTACAAACTGAAATGGATCTGAAAAATGAAAACATAAATTGCCAGCGAAAGCTGAAACAGTCACGGTTTTTGAGGTGGCCGTCTGCCTCCACATAATTATCCCCTTGGGATTGGGGTCCACTGTAAAAGCTAGTATACAAGAGGTTTCTATTGCCCTCAAACCTTCTGGCCAAGGGGTCTGTTTGACCTCAAAAGATAAGTCATTTAGACATCCTAGTGCCATTAACGCCTGGTAACATACTGCCAGGTCCCCTTTTCTGAACAAGACTTACAATACAGGTCAATGCATTAACAGTGTGGGGAAGAACACATCAGAGTGAGCAAACAAAATCTTATCAGATGTAAAAAACTACCAATATCTTAATTCAGAGTTTTTGTAGTTTGTCAGGCTAAGTGTCATGCTAAGAATGTACTAATTTGTTAGACCATCAGAAAACAAATGAAGAGCAAATGAAGAAGTTGTATTTCAGACTTTCCATCCCAGGCAGGTCTGCCTCGAATACTTTCTTTTTTTTTTAAAGATTTTATTTATTTATTTATTTATTTATTTATTTATTTATTTAAGATTTATTTTATTTATTTATGCAAGCAGTGGGTACAGTCAGAAGTGCGGGAGGGCGAGAGAATTCACCAGAGACAAAGCGGGGATCATAGCAGGCAGAAGGACTGAGGTACACTGCTGAGGGGAGCAGTGGGCGGCAGGAGAGGTCTGCGCACCATGTGGGACCCTCCTCTGGTGGCCGGGGAGCAGCCGGGGATCAAACCGGAGCTGCAGAGGCTGCAGGCAGTTTCGCAACCCAGCGCTCAACCGCTGCACCACCGGGGAGGCCCAGCCTTGAATACTTTCAAGGCCTGGGGCAAGAGCACAATTGAAAACTCATAAATCAAGTCTACATATTCAGTTATAAATCATACTAGCAAGTTATTTAATAAAGTATATTCCTGCCTTGAAGTATTCTCCGCCTTGACAAATACACCTTTCTTCAGCACCACCTGGAAGGCCAGGTTCAAATCTTGATGGTTCTGTGAGAGTCCTGGAGAGTTCTGTGCCACAATGAGGTGTACTGGGAAAGCAGGCCCCCACCTTTCCCCTCTCTGGCTGTCCTATTAAGCACAAGGCTTTGCAATTGAGTGAGGCCACCATTCCTTCCTTCGCCACCGCCACATCTACCCCTCCGGCCTAGGCGTGCAGGTGCTGTGGCGAGGTCCACACTCTCGAGGCAGATCAGGAAAGAAGCCCAAGGAGGCTGAGAGGTGTCCAGGCACGGGAATACAGGCATCCCAGGTATCCAAAATGTGGTTTAGAACTGGGCGCAAAGACTAGGCAGCTACATCTCACTGATCCCATGGAGTCCTCACCCTTCGAGGAGACTAACTTGGAAGAAGGTCAAAGTTTTTAGTCCTTTTTCCACCCCAAGTAACGATTGACTGTCTTGCCATTAACTTATAACCCTAAGCAAATGACTTTCTCTCTCTGAAGCCTGTGTGTAGCAGCCAACTTTCAAGGGCAGGAAGCCTCAGTGACCTTGGCTACAATGTGTTCTAGCATCTCCAGTCACAGGGGACAGAGGAGAGCCCCAGACCAACCGGATTATTCTTCCTGGAAATTCCAGATTAGTGGAAAGGAAAACACAGTAACAGTAAAGTCCAAGTCCTATGACTTCTAAGGCTCCCCAACTGCTGTAGTCTTTACCCTTCTCAGATCGCAGCAGTTATTCGATGCTTCCTGTACTAGTCCAGTTTACCTCCAATTAATGTCTTTTTTTCCTTCAAACTGTGAGTGACTTGTCATTCAACAATTAAAAATAAAATTACAATCAAGTCACCTAATCAGATGCAATTAGTAAGAAAGGCAAAAGGTAGTACTTGCCTTACCCACCTCGTTAGCACTGGATTTAGGAAGAAAAAGCACTTGACACAGCTCTCAGGGAAAGAAGGGTCTTTCAGAGGAG